GTATAACTCGGCACCCCATATTGTCATGTCAAACTTTATAAGACAACAGTTTGATGCAATCAACTTATTGGTTTTGTCTGTATGCAACAAGTTTATTTTTCTCTAATATAAAATCATTTACTTGTCGGTACATTTGTTAGCTGATGCAGATCAGAAAATATTACCTGAAGTAAGGTTTAATAAGCAGGCATACAGAAAAGTCTWAATTTATAAATATTATGTAAATAATATCTCTCCTCCATTCTTAAATAAAACTAATCCTTCTTTTTTCCCCCCTTGATGTTGCTAAGTGACATCCAGGCAATGCCATTAATTCTGTATTGCACAAACATGTCACCATCCTCAGTCACCGAACACAAACAACACTTCAGGGTATTTTCATTAGGACTTTTTAGTTTTATTTTTCTCAAGAAAAAAAAAAGGATTTCAATTGGGCACCACAGAAATCTACTGCCTATTTTGCTGATTTACAGAAATGATAACTTGGAAAGTTACATTGATGGTGCAAGTATTTCATGTATACCGATGTCTCTGAACCTTAAAACAATACATATGTTATTTTCTGACTAATTTAGCAATTAATTTTTAAAGTTTGTGACATAAGTTGTGTCAGCACTGATCAGATGCACCTGTTATCACTATTTACCACTTGCTCTTTTTATCTCTTAGTTTATTATTTTCTTTCTTTCTGTCATACACTGCTATTGCTGCAGTTGTTTTCCTCTTATAAACATGGTAATCTTTTATTTTTAATGACCAATTAGAATAAATTATTAAACTCTTTAAAACACATGCATGTACTTAGCTTAAATCTTGTCTCAACAGATTRAAAAAAGCAAAACACTTTCAAAAAGATTTAACTCTCACTAAATATTGCTTTCCTATCTACCTTTTTTCTGTTTTTTAATAAGGTCACATGCAGGAAAGTGCATGAAGGAGCCACAGAGCTCATCGAGTGGAGAGGCCGTGAAAACGGACAGAAGATTCCTCCCATGGGGCCCAGTCCACGGATTCTCAACCCCCTGCGTTTGTTTGCCAGGGGCTCCCCCGAGCTCAAGAGCAACACAGGGGGAATGACGTATTTACAGCACATGGAGGACTTTTGGGACTGGTTATCTAACCAGACAGATGTTCAGGGTTCACAGACCAGAACTAAGCGCAGACCCATCGTCAAGACTGGCAAGTTCAAAAAGATGTTTGGGTGGGGGGACTTCCACTCCAACATCAAGACCGTCAAACTCAACCTCCTGATCACAGGCAAGATCGTGGACCACGGGAACGGCACGTTCAGCGTCTACTTTCGCCACAACTCCACAGGGATGGGGAATGTGTCTGTGAGCCTGGTGCCGCCTTCCAAGGTTGTGGAGTTTGAGATCGCTCAGCAGTCCACGCTGGAGACCAAAGACACCAAATCGTTCAATTGTCGCATTGAATACGAGAAGACGGACCGCAACAAGAAAACCGCCCTGTGCAACTTTGACCCGTCCAAGGTGTGCTATCAGGAGCACACGCAGAGCCATGTGTCGTGGCTGTGCTCAAAACCCTTCAAAGTCATATGCATCTATATCGCCTTTTATAGTGTGGACTACAAACTGGTGCAGAAGGTATGCCCTGACTACAACTACCACAGTGACACACCGTACTCTTCCACAGGATGACCTAACTGTTGTATATGCATCAGTCTTTTGTTTTACCTTTAAACTATGTCAATGTCCAACTCTAAACTCATTGTTCTGAACTACCTAAACAGCTTGATATGTTGAAGAGTCAGCTCACAAAGGGACAAGTATACTGGAGAAACTTTTGTACATATTGCACATGTATACAGAAATAAAACTTAGTGTTAGGTGTACAAGGACTTTGAATTTCGGGGTTTACGTGAGATGCAGCGATAGCTACGAACCCTGGGTAAAATCTCATCACAGCAGCACATGTTCTTTGATGTAATTACCATGCTGTCCAGATGTTTGCTTCAAGGCTAAAATATGAGAGAGGAGCATTTGACAGCACTTATCAAGCTCACCTCGTTTAAAAAGTTGGGAGTTGAAAACTAAGTTTTTGAATCATTAGGTTATTACAATAAACAAACATTTGAAACAGGACATAAAATAAAAGAATTCATTTTAAAACCTTGCTAAATTTTGAGTAATTAAGTTATTTGGCCGTTGCCTTTGAGCTGACTTTCATGTGTACGTTAACAGAACTTGAAGAGAACATTCATTATTTCAAATGAGTTTTTTAAGCCTTCAATAATTAATTACAGCCATTTTTTGTTTTCTTTTTTTCCAATAGGTATGGAATAGAAGCAAATTGATTGATTCAACCTATTCCAAATTGTCTGTGACAAAATAAAGTGGTCCAACAAATCTAATTTCAAAGAAACTTGAGAGCACAATCGTAAATTATCACTCATTATCACCCGTCCAGATGTAAAGTGGCGTGCTCTTGTGCTTCCTCCTGAAAACGTCTTGGTTTCGTGCTACAATTATCCTAAGGCGTGTGCGTGCTGAGCCACTCTGAATCCCAACATCTGTGTTTGCTGGATGCACTTTGAGGCATCAGCCTGCCGAGCAAGCCTCACACTGGATTAATGTGTCAGGAGAGGAAGGGAGGGAAGGAGGCAATAATTGCAGGACAGGTGGATTTAGTGAGTCTGGCAGACAATTATCAGCACTTTGTCATGGTCCCGCTACCAGCCCTGACATTACCTGTCTTTAATAGGCTTTAATTAGCCTGGGGAATCCATTCACCAAGAGTGGAGAAACTGAAGAGAGAGAGAAAAAAACAAAACAAAACGAAGCAGAAGGAAAGAAGGTGTCTGCATTTTTTTTTAATCGAGAAGTGGGGATAAATTTGAAATATCAAGCTTAATTTTTTTTCACTTGCACAGCAACCCTAAAATGGCAGATTTCAGTGTACAAGCAGAAAACATCCAGTCTAATGGTGTAATGTGCTTCGATCCAGCAATCACCGAGACAGTTTGGAAAGGTTTTCTTGGAAACCATCTCCACGTTTAAATGCCGTGGATTGCGTTGCTTGCACACATCCCAGGTTCTCGGGTTAGGGCAGGTGCCACCGATGACACCGTAACTGTTTCTATCGATGCTCCTTTATTTTTCCATCATCTGTAAATGATCCTGTTCACATGAGGTGATGTGTATGATAAATCAGAGTTGGTAAACAATGTTTTAGTTTCACTCCTTTGTGCAAATGCTGTGTATTACTGTGTAACTCTAAAACTTAACGTGATCAATTATGGCTTTAGAGTTAATGATGATTTTTCCTAAGAAATATGTATTCTCTATTTTTTGTGTTTTATCATAAATAATGTAGATAAATGTCATATTTATTGCCGTATAAATTGCTTTGAATTTCATTTTCTTTGTAAATGCAGATTATTCCTATCTTTTGTCTCCCTTGCTTATTTTTTTTCTGTAAATTAGATAAAAAAGTGCACCTATCTGTGTAATTACCATTTTTTATATTAGTATTCAAAGAAAGCTTTTTTTGTGTGTGTCAAAATGTGATGGTAAAGATCAATTTAGGTTTGTATGGCATTAAACCTCACATAAAACGGACTCATAGTATTTGTCACTGAGTCTGCCCCRGTGTAGAGGCACTTGCAGTTGTCTTGTTTCATTTCTGAAAGGACTTCTCAACAGGATAAACACACCATTTTAAGAGGTACATTTCAGTGTAGCTTTTTAATGGGCAATAAATCTGTGTCCACAGGCGTGGATGATACCAGAGGTACACCTCGGGGAGCACATCCATTTTGTTGTGGCCATCAGGGACAGGGGTCTTTTCATTCGCTTCCATTACTCTTATCTGATCAGGATGAGGCACCTACTCCTTCTGCATCAAGTCACACCAGGCTCTGCACTCATCCAAATCTTAAAAAAGGCAAACATATATTACTTTTCATAGTTCTGCATTAGTAATACATTTTTAAACAAAAATAACTAGTTATTGTCTGCCACTGTGTAACAGGTAATGTTTGCCTGTCTGTTGGCAAAATACCTAATGAACCACTAGACAGATTTTAATAAAACCTTTTGAAATTAATCAATGGATGCACATGGGCACTTGATTAAATTTTGAACTGAATACAAATCAAAATGGTCACTACAGCTAATTGACTTTATCCAACACATCCATGGCTATAACACAGTCAGTCTTACAGATATTGATCTAACATTTGGTGTGGTAATAGTCGGTCAGTGGTGGGCACAGTTCCCCTAAAGCCCTAATAGGGGAACTAATTTCCTGATTAGTGCTTTAGGGCTTTTGCTAATTTCTTAATCCTTTAGTGGATTAACACTTGCTAAATTTATGGGCTAAATTTATAAGCACTAATTGAGTTCTTTAATATTGATCAACATTACTGTCAACAGCTGAGGGTGAAAGCTGTCAGGCATGTTGGTCATGTGTGTCATTTATCCACTAGATCAGTGGCTTTCAACATTTTTGTTTCTGACCCACAAAATAACAGTTGCAGACACTTATGACCCCRTTTATTACTTGTTTTTGTAGCTAATTTTGGTAACATCTCTGTTAAATATGGGAATAATAACTAAAAACAAGCCTAGTAACTATGATACAATTTTTTATTCATTTATGATTATTTTAAAAAATGCAATAACCATGATTAAAATATTCCATTAGCATTTTTTTTCGCATTTAAATTGATGTCTGGAAATCACCTGGGGACCMTCACTTGATGTTTTGTGGCCCATAAAGAGGTCCCGACCCCAACTTTGGGAACCACTACACGAGATGAAATATTAACAATATTCTGCACACAAAAAAATATTGTCTCATGGTGGCTCTGAGGAATGTTCTATGGGTCAGCTGGGTTTTTAGTGCTTTAGAATTAGCTTTTGCTAAGTTTTTAAGTGTGTWAGTGCTTTAGAATTAGGGGACCTAAATATTAAAGTTAGTGCTTTAGGGTTAGTGCAACTAATTTTTAGATTAGTGCTGCCYACCACTGTGGTTGGTCATTGACAACACTAAGCAAAGCATCTTCCAATATTGCATGACATTCCACATTATTTTCAAGGTCTCACCATAATGGATACAACTCCATTTGTCAGCATAGGGTCATTTAAAATTGTGATGCAGTATGTGATTCCTTTAAAGAATGCTAGGTCTTTAACCATTTTTAAAAATGTTAAATACAAATAAGTGTTTTAAATGAAATATAATGCAGAGCTTTTATAAACCATTGAGAAAAAATAAATAAATCAGTTTTAGTATCACCTGCAGTGTCACCACCCAGTGCTTTTTCGCTACAATCCAAATGACAAGAATTCTTCATTTTTGACAGCATCAGTGCAGGCATCTTCTCTTTCAAGCATCACAGTTAACGGAGGAAAGCGAGGGAGGAAGATAAAAGGTTGAAGAGGCGTCCTAAAGCTGCGATGGTATCAGGCCATTTCCAAGGATCGCTGCTGAGAGGGGCGGACGTGGATCAGCAAGCCGCTGATGAAGACGTCTCTTCTTGCAGGAGAGAGCGGCCTCGGAGCCACTTTAATTAGAGCCGGCACCTTGCATTCACATAAAACAAAAGAAAAAAGGTCTTTTATGTGTCGAAAAGGGGTTTAACTTGAAGCTATCCCAGAGCAACTAYCGTGCATGTCCTTTTGATTAGCCAAGTAAAGTGTTTTGTAATTATAAAAAATCTCAGCCCAACATCCACGTCCATTTAAACAATCATTAAAACGACTGCAGAAAAGTATGACACGTCCTGAAAGTAAATGATTTGGTCAAACTAACAATCTCCAGGTAAAAATATAGATACATTAATCTGAGTCACTTCAAACTGCTGGAAAATGTTTTAATGGGTTAATGCAGGCATTCTTGCAGACAACAACTTCTTTTTTTTTTGCACTTCCAAAGTTTTGACATGATGCTGATTGACGAGTAATATCATAGAAAAATGACGCTACTCTCGGTTTACAAAATCCTCTGAAGTGTCTGTCACACCACACTACATACGAGACGGACTTAATAACATGACGACCCCCCCATTCAAACACAGAATAACATTGTCAGTAGAAGTGATGCTCAGCATCCTACAGATATCCAAGCATGTAAGGACAATTTTGCACATACTCAATTCATGTCATTCTGCACACATATCAGATAGTTGCAGAAAATAAATTGATTGAAAAAAAAATGACTGGAACTTGGACACTTTCTCTTGACAATAACACGACCATGCATTTGTCTCTCCATTTTTAGTTTACCACAATATACTGAGAAGATATATTTGCAAATTGGCAATACTAAAAGAAAAAATTCTCTAAATTGTATCCATAACAGTTCACAGATGTATGATCTGGAATATGTCACTCAAATGGGAGAATAAGAACATTCCAATGTTTTAGGACCGAAGTATTTGACACTGGTCTTGAAAATGGCAGATTACTATTTTTCCCCCCACACAAAAATGCAACATAATGGATTTYCTTGTACATTGGTCTTTTAAAGATGGTTCAACTGTCACTTACATCAAAATGGTGCCATCAATATGGGGCATACACATTTTTTAAAAAGTGTAAAGAACTGACATTGCACTGAGTGTTCATGCTTTTTAATGTCTAGTCACAAAACGGGCTAAACATTACAAATATATAATATTTCCCATTTAGTTAAATCTTTGTCACGTTCCTATAGAACTCCTTATCAAAATGACTATACATGGGAACTAGTGCAACCTGGAGGAGGCCTGGTCTTTGTGACAAGGCAGGCACAGAGTAAAATAGACGAAGCGCTCTAGAGCAGGTCCAGAGCAATGGCAGATATATTAAGGCCATTTTAAAAATTACAGGGAAAAAAAACTGTAGCTGAGAACTTGGCTTGCTGCCCGGCAGAACAGAATTCAGCTGAGGCAGCAAAGCAAGCGAGCAAGCAACGCCGATTGAATCAACTGTTATCCAAATCCATTTATGTCAGCCTTCCATGTGCCAGCCTTCCCACATCTCTGGCCAGAAAGCTTCACTGTCCCTTATTCAAGTGTGTTCAGTTTTGGTGGAAATAAAAGTGGCACCCCACAATAGTCCTTTCTTTGTAAACCCATGCTTCACACCCTTCAGCTTAGTCCTGGGTCACAGTCGGGCAGTCAGGACTGTTTTAGTCGCTTCCTCGGAAGACCAAAGGGTGGGCACTGAGCCGAAGCCAGGGCACGGAAGGCTTCAGCTACCAAGTGTGGATGGGACTGGATCATTGACTTCCAGCCTGCAGTCTCCATTATATCTGTGGCATGACTGAAATCACAAGCAAAATGAAGTTAACACYAAGGCATGCTAATCAGCACATTAAAACAGGTATAATTTAATATATTAGAGAAAACAGCACAAGCAATAAGGGTATGATTTGTTAAGTTACACAAGCTGCGTTTCCATTGTAAATGTGCGCAAAACATTGTCGATATTCTGTTAATGTCGAAAAACAGTTTCGCAACTGCGGTGTTTCCATTAAGTAAGAAATGCTATTAAAGTCGTGCGTGAATACDTTTGTTCTCATGATAAGTCATTACAAACATGGTGGCAATGGATGTAAACACATAGCATGTTGCTACTGCAACACTAGCRCTCAACATCAGAGGAGACATCAGTGTCTTTTATCGAGGCTCTCCAGCGACAAGCCCCTACTTGGGAGCAGCTACGTATGCTGTGTTTTGGGGAAATTGTAGTCGGTGAGTTTACTATTTTATACTACTACTGTGATGTTACTATTATTTCAACTTCCTGTTATCTTCTTCGTCATCTTCTTTTTCACCAGTAGAAACAGCTGGTTGTTGATCACGTGACTCCCGTGATGCGAAAAAAGTGTTTCCATTGCAGTTTTGCGAAAAACACCAATTTCGATACGGCTGAAATACCACCTCATCCTAGCGCAAAAACATTTTGTCGAAAAACAGAATTTTTCTCGAAATTGACGTGTTTCCATTGAGCAAATTTATTTTCAAAATTCTAATTTGCACATTTTCATGGTCAATGGAAACGCAGCTATAGAGAAGTTGAAGTGGGCCATTTGTACTTTCTGTGAGCTGAAACTAACGTAGGATTAGGATGCCATTATAGTACATATACAAACAGAATAAAGTTCATCGTTTCAAGGTGTCCTATAAAACTGCACTAAATCAACTGAAAGAAAAACCTGCCACTGAGGCCAACTCCTTTCCTTCAAAAATTGTACAAATATTCCGTTCCTGGGGTTTATCCAGGTATGAGTCTATTAATAACTTGGATACAAYGATAATGCGCTTCAAACTGAAAAGGCAAACAGCACTCTGTCTGCCTGGGCTAAAACAATGAATTCTAATGCATCTGGTTGGGGGGAAAGATAAGAAAGTGTTATTAATCTTGTGTCACATATATCAGCTAATTACATACTTGCTATTCCAGTTCTTTCCATCTTTACAGCCCAGCTGTCTCAGGACACTGCACCTATGGCAAGGAGATAAAAAGGTAAGCATTCAGGGCTGGTAAACAGAAATGGCAGCAGGAATTTATCACCGGAGTTTTTTTTTTTTTTTCCTCGATACTTGCCTGTTGATAAAATCTATGGCTTGTGCTTTGAGCTGCTCGGCACTGTGCAAGTCAGCCAGGATGAGGGTGTCGGCCACATTCTCCACTGAAAGGCTGTTGCACAAGGCCTCTTCACACATGACCTTTAAACGCTCCAGAGCATACTGGTGTGTATGTGTGTGGGGTGGAGGGAGGGGGGGGGGGTAACGACAAAAAAACACTGGTGAAGGCTCCACTGTAAATCTCAATGGTTTAACATTTTGCTTGACCAATCAGTGAAGAAATGACTAATTACCTAAAAAAGCTTCTTATCTAACACCCTTACCCACTTTACCTATCCTAAAATACAAAAGCTGTTTTGAATTAGTGACAGATTCAAGGAATCCTAAAATATGGCTGGTAGTTGTGTAAAGATGAGCAGGTGTCTTTTTGTTATGGCACAATAATCAACAAGATAACATAATTAAAGGACAGCTGTAAATCAAGAGGGCAGACCGGATTTGGTTAATCACACCAAATCAGACCAAAATCCTAATTTTGGTCAATCTCCCCAGTGTTCATGTCGAAGCATCCTGCCCAAAAATAAACCCTAAAATGCTACAAAATATATTCCTTATGCATAAGTTGCTTTGAATAAAAGCATCACATACAGACAATGTAACTTTGGTTAAATAAGCACAACTTTCAATAGTTAAAGATATTTTTTAGTCATAAGAATGAGAAATTGTATCTTTTTTTAGAGTTTTATGTTTAAAATCTATACAAAACGAACCTCAAGTGCACCAAATATATATGAGGAAAAACATTTTTCTTAAAAGGCAAGAACAAAAAAAGGTGTATAAAAACAAAGTCCTCTCTTGCTGCTACACAATTTAGGAGGGAAAGTAGAAATCAGGGACTGCTAATCAAATGTACTTTGATGATCAGTGTGACCACTGCCAGCAAACTCACTCCAAGGTCAAACAGTGCTTCAAAAACTACATTTCTGACTCTACAGACCTCAGCTAGCAGATTAAACGTTAAAGTAGCACTTTTAGAAAAAGACTGAACACTTATAACTTGTTTGCAAGGGTTGCCAGGAGAAAGTCTCTTCTCTCTAAAAAGAATATGGAGGCAGGACTTTGTAAAGCTGCATCTGAATGAACCACACGACCCTTTGAACAGACGACAACCAAGCAGAGATGTTTGGCTATAATGCAATGTTTGGTGAAAACCAAGCGCAATATATCAGGACAAACGCTTTGCACAATGGTCAAGCACAGAGGTGTAGAGGGAATCATTTGACCTTGTTTTGCAGACTCAAGACCTGAGYACCTTGCAGTCAGAGTCAATCTATTCTGTATACAGACATATACAGAATAGTCAAACATGAGGCCATCTGTCTGACAGCTAAAATGGTCTAAATGAGGTCATRCATCAGGAAAAATGATCCCAATCATAGCAAATCTAAAACAGGATGGCTGCAATAGGTAAACAATCAGTGTTTCTCTGGTTTAGTTATCAACCAGATTGAAATGTCAAGTTGGTACCTTAACATAGGCAGGTATACACAAATGAGCAGTAATGACCACTTCACAAGTGGCTTTTCTACGAGTTTTCTTTTTGTTTARTAAACACTGACAAGATGAATTCTGTTGTTTTTGTATGTCGGATGTTTTATTTTGAATAACTGTATAACTTGGTTAAGACCAGATTTTTCTTAATGTGTCCTGATACATAAATCACTTAAATCAAAAGTGGTTGGACTTTCTTTTTCCAATTACTTTATATACCCGTCATGTGATAAGCCTATTCTAAAAATGGGGTGCTAATGGTGAGACAGAAAACATAAATAAATCTGAACAGTCAATATGGAAATTATTCACATTAGACACGGTCTAACAACAACATAATTACAGAACAAAAACAGAATAAGTCTCATTGACTGTCATTCAGCTCTTACTCTCCCTGTAGACTAACAAGACTGTTGGGCGGCCCAAACATTGAAAATTTTAAGGGTCCGTGGATATATTACAACCAGTACAGCTTTATTAAATGTTTAATAATTGTTCAGGTTTGTATTAAAATGAAGCAGGTGTTTTATTAAAACTAAATTTGAGCAAATCAGTCCATGTACTTACTTTATCTGCAGCTGCCAACAAATTGTCTGCCATCTTCTCCAAGTTCGGGGCCTTTCCTGTGTATATGAAGCCCATCATTTCCCTAAAGACGTCTGGATCCACATCACTAATATCAACACGGTTCTGAAAAAAAAATTAATAAAAGGCAAAAAAGCTTCTTACTTATAATAAAATGTCACCGGAATTAATAGAACAAAGGAAGCTAAACATTTTCATTATCAGAGTTATAATAAATTGTTTTTAAGCCATGACTAAGTTTTTAAAGCAGAACACATCTGTGTACAAGGACACACATCAAGAAGCAAATACAACTCTTTATAGTCTTACCTTTTTACTTTCTTCCATTTCATGTTCAAACATTGCATTAAAGACTGGCGACCTCGCTGTCAAAAAAAATAATAAAAATGATTTAAACTTGTTTTCACGTAAAAACGATTCAACCTCTGAAGTTTATTAGTTCATCAAGTAAACTATCAGTATCYATCTGCAACAAAACCAATTATTTTCAGTAAATAAAGACAAAAAATAATCTAACACATCAACCTTGCTCCTCTAAAGAACCTCATCAGGCATCGCCATCCCTAAGCGACAGTTTTTATCTATGGTTCCCTCAGTGGCTTTTTGATCAGTCTTAAAGAATCTCTTACAAACCCATGATCTCTGCTAATACTTTAATACACATAACCGATGCATCTTTATACACTGCTYTAAAGACTGTACCCCTCCTACGTCCTTTTATTAGATTTAGTGCTTAATGGTGCATGCCGGAGTTTCTTACTGTAGACATTTGAATGTTTATGCTCCCTTTAAGACATATTCTATGTGCTCAATAAGTAAATTTAAACTTACATTGGACTACTGTAGTGCAAAAAAAGACAGCAAAATTCCTACAGCTGTCACATTGAAAGYATTTTCTCCTTGAAGACTGCAGCAGCCACCGTGTCTAATTGAGATGAGAGGAGAGAGCCAGACTCTCAATCTCCTGAATCCTACAGTCATATGGGTCAAGCAGGGCCAAGCAGGAGTAGTGGTGTGGATTAGCAACCATTGCAAAACTAGGCCGCAACAAATCAAACCAGGCACACAGACTCTCCTTATCCTTTCAAGGCACTTTTGACTCTTCACCAGAGGTCATTAAAAAGAAGCATGGAYGTGTCTTTCTGTTGCCACTTCTGATGCTCCCCTGGTTCAGTAATGTCTTACCTGCAAGGATAGATTTGTGGGCTTTGAACTCTTGCCCTCCCACATAGAGGCTGCAGTCTGTAAAGCGTGAACACTCCCAGAGATTTCCTAGGTCATCAGACAGCTGACACTCCGGTACTTTCAGCATGTTCATGTTGGACTGKCCCGAAATGTTGACGGAGTCTTGGACAACGCTTACCTACATTATCAGAAAAACAACAATGAGGCAATCTTGTAAAGCAACGCTCTCCCCAAAACAACTTTAAGAAGGAAGTCTTGAAAAATAAAATGAAATAAAATAAATACATCAATCTAGAGAACCAAACTTGTGTTTTTCTGATTTATATAATTAATAGGACAGGGTATTTTGCCTTTTATTTAAATTACATTTGTTTTTTTAAACTGACACTTCCCTCTAAAATCTTAGAAAGTATCTAAAAGTGCAGGACGGCTCACTACATTCTTGGCAACTGCATTGAAATCAAATACACTGACACCTAATTTAACTTGTCCCTTGAAAGAACATTTTCAGACACGTTAACTCTTATTGACATTCTGAATTCAATTATTTTGAAAACAAGTGTTGTTTTAAGAGAAAGATGGAGGAAACATTTTACTTGCCAAAAGTAAAATGTCATCAGATGCAAATCCACATCTGATGCAAATCCATTAAGAATACAGACAGCTGTACACTGGCYATGGCATAAATTAACACTCTCTGTTAAAGGTTATTGTTGTGAGTAAAGCAAAATGTTTTTTTAATACAAAAGCTACTTGACATTGTTGCCATAATATATAC